CAAAAATGAGAGTCTCAAGAAAGGTTCAATTCTGATTAATATTGTGTTTGGCTCTCGACTCTCTCCTTCTCTTTCAACGTGTCAGGTGATGGGTTAAGGTATGAGGACAGCTGTATTTATACCAAGTGAAACTGATCCTTAGAGCTCATTTGCAGTTGAAACTATCGTGTTTTGTGGCAAACATCTCCTGTGTGATATAAATGTTCATTCCTGTATCCCAGCAAGGAGAAGGGAGAAGGGGAAGCACTAGTGCCCTGGTCAGGCTTCACCAAGGTCCTCTCCTCCCTCCCCACTTCATGCTTCCCTTTCTCCTGCGCAATCTGCCATCCCCAGAGAGATAGCAAAAGGACCAGAGAAGACAGCTTATTTCCATACACTTGTTTCATTCAAACAGGTTTATTTTCAATAATTGAGGCTGTAAGCATTTCAAGTGGCAGATGGTGCTAAAATTCTGTCCTGGGCATATTACCAGCTGGAAGGATATCACAGGACTTCAGCCCACAAGGGAGATAGGAGCGTAGGCACTGCAATACTGGGGCAGATAGATGCTATATCTAGCCCAGCATCTATCTAAGACAGTGACTAGAGCCAGACGCTCCAGAGGAAGGCATTAAACACCATGTACTGAATTACACAAGAAAATACTAGCTTTTTCACCTGCTGATGATCAGGCACTGCTCTGAAGCACACAGCCGTCAAGGATGTTGAAGTTTTATTCCAGCCAATCATAACTGCAGATGCAGCTGGGTGAATGAAAGCAGACCCCCTGGCCCGGCTCATGAGCAAAACAGCTGGAAAGGGATCAAAACTGAAGGAGGGATTTTTCAAAACTGAGCAGGGCTAGCCCAAACCCTGTGCCGCTGACATCACTGCCGGCCTCAAAAGGAGGCCTAAGGCCAAGATTCTGACACAGCTCCAACTTTCTTCAAAGCCTTGACAGATACGGGGCAGCTTTGATGGCAGGAAGGTTACAAAAGCACTTGCTCTTCTGACTAACCAAAAGCAAGTGCTTCCACTAGGAAAAAATAACAAAAAAACAGAAACCAAAATGAAGCTCAGTGCTGTGACCTCCCTCCTTCACCATCACAACTAACTCTAGGTGACCACATACATGGGCCACCATAGCCCCCTCCTACTAATGCCAGTCAGACCATTTCATTAGAAAGGTTGGTCCCAAGTGTCGGATCTCTTCTGTCTCTCACAGTCCCTAGCTGAATAAAACAGCAGGTCACCTGCTTCCAAGTACTTCTCCCCCTTCAACACCTTTCGCAATGGCCCATTCCATTCATGCTGTCTTTGGGAATTCATTTTTATTCTCAGACACTCGAAAGGCATAATCCAACTTACAATGACATACAGAGTGCAGTACAGTCTCTGAACTAGTTTGAACCACAATGTTCCTTAGGTTCAGTCTCCCATGTTGATATTGCATATTTCATAAAATCACAGAATGGCCAGGGTTGGAAGGAACCTTAAGGATCACGCATCTCCAACCCCCTGCCGCATGCAGGGCCACCAACCTCTACATTCAGTACTAGACCAGGCTGCCCAGGGCCCCATCCAACCTGGTCTTGAACACCTCCAGGGACGGGGCATCCACAACCTCTCTGGGCAGCCTGTTCCAGCACCTCACCACTCTCTCTGTAAAGAACTTCCCTTTGACATCCAACATACATCTTCCCTCCCTCAACTTAAAACTATTTCCCCTAGTCCTGCCATTATCTACCCTTGTAAAAAGTCAACTCCCCTCCTGTTTGTAGGCTCCCTTTAGGCACTGAAAGCTGCAATGAGGTCACCCCACAGCCTTCTTTTCTCCAGACTGAACAAGCCCAGCTCCCTCAGCCTCTCTTCATAGGGAAGGTGTTCCAGCCCCTTGATCGTCTTCATGGCCCTCCTCTGGAAGCTCTGTTTACAAAACTAACTTATTTAAATTCATTTCTTCTATACATGCTAGAGTCTGCAACACTCTCCAGAACACACTGGGAACATCACATAGTAGCTTTCACCCTAAACAAAGGGTTGAATTCTGAATTACAACACTGAAAATACAGTTAAAAATAAGAACCTCTTAAGAAAGACTACATTGGAGTGAATGAAGGGGGATGAAATTACAAAACATAGCTGAAGAGCTTCTCTTCAGATGCACAGTACCAATTTACATAGCTTTGTTTTGCAGTCTTGCTGCTTGTCACATAAGAAAAACTTGACCAAAAGCAAAGGATGATTGAATCTGACTGCCTGAAGACTGAGGACCAAAAATTTGATTCAGGTAATAACATAGAGCAGCTCCAAACATCCCTCTCACATACAGTGATGAGGAAGACTTGTGGCCAGAGCCCAGAAGTAAACAGCAAATTCTCTGGCACCCTTATCTTTATTTACCTGATTGTCAGCTGTCCTGATACAAAGAGCACATCCTGCCTGGCTGGAGAGAACAAGGCAGGACTGTGATGGACTCTCTGCCTTTGCTGCTGGTGCATGAACTCTTTCCTCCTTAGCGCTGCCAATCTGCAAGATCAGACAGACAGAGCTGACAGAACAAGAAGATAGGTGATACCATACTTCTCTTTAGGAAATACATCCTTTTTCTACTTTTCTTGCCCTCCCAGCCCTCCTCATTCCCCATCTTGCCATACTGAATCCAGTCAGAGCACAGGGTTATCCCATCAAAGCAGCTCTGGACATAAGGAACTGCAATTTGGGAGGTTCAGACCTACTTGTCAGCAGCCATTACGTTGCATGCTGAAGACACCTAAACCATCACTTCTTTTCAAAAACAGGTTTTTTTCTCCCTACAGAGAGGGTTCTGCCTACCTTTCTCTCAAAACTGAGCCTTCAAGCTATGCTTTTTCATAAGAAGGTTATACTGTTTCAGTTACTGAGTTACTGCATACATGAAAACTAATGGAAAACCTGCTTTAGGAAGCAAAGGAGGGGAGAAAAAATCTGGATTTTTCCTATGTCCTTAAAATCATACAGGGTCAAGTTTCTGTGATGATATTTTAAATGCATAAGAGGATAAATGGAGTGTGGATGATTGTCTGGTCCTTAATTTTTCCAGTGTTTATGTCTGGGTTTTATGATACAGACAATATTCCTAAGCCTATTTGAAAATTAATCTCTAGTGAACAGGTGAATAGATATTGCAGCATTGACTCTTCTGTCTCCATTTATCTTTCCATTTAAGAAGTTAACTGAAAATAGGAACTTACTCAATAGCATTTTTCAAGGCACACATTATTAGAGCATTCTGACCTATAGCAGCAATTTGCCTTTTTGCTCACTCAGAGAGGAAACAAGTTAGAGAGTTCACACACATCCCTGGCATTGCAGAGACCAAAGCTGACATAACAGTAACAATGATGTCACTCTTCATATCTACTATATCTGCCTTACTTTAACAATTCTTTCTCACCAAAACCACCAATATCCTTCATTTTTTTTCCTCAGTTTTCTAGATGTCACATGGAGGATGTGACAAGTACAAGACAGAAAGACGGGCAACATACATATGGTCTTCTTTTTACAACAGGCACATTCATCATCCACTCTATTTTCCCCCACCTCATAAACAGTAAGACATTTGCGCATGGGAATCAAGAGGAGAGTGTGAGACATCAAAAGATGAGTGATCTCAGAAAGTCAGAATGAATGGCAAATCCAACTTGGAAAATAATCCTTTGGAGCACAACCCCTGCAGCAAGAAGAACACTACAAACCAAAAGCAAAATCAAAACACTGGTGGGGGGGGGGAGGCTGGGAAATAAGGTGGTAGGAAGGCTGATGAGAGCTGTGGAATGCTCTGATGGGAACAGCTCAAAGTCATTTTCACATCTGTCCCTGACACTCCCTAGCTTAAGTCTGTCTGATCATCATTAATGCTATTCCTTCTGGTTTGTAAACGAATTGAAGAAAATCATAGGTTTTCTGGTTTGTAAATGAATTGAAGTAAAGCATAACTTTTCTCCAGTTTCTATCTCTCTTCCAACTCATGAATAACAGAAACCCAGAGCAATACAAACAAGCAGACCTTTCAAACGCAGACATGGAAATACCAAAGTGCTCTAGTGCTAACAAAATGCCACCCCACTTCTCACCTATGTTTTCTAACCTGAAAAATGCAGAAAACAAAACAAGCCTACCTTGCTACAGAGGGCTTGTTCAGCCTTCTTCACACATTTTTGGGGAGCAACTGGAAAACACTTTCCTTCTGTGAAAAGCAACATACTGTTAAAACTGCTCAGGAAAATACATCATCTATCACAATTATATATAAATACGTGCTGCAGATTGATCTATCTCAGGGTCCTTCTGTTTAGACAGCTGAGTTTAGACAGCCATCTCACAAATAGGGCCACCTTGGAGAGAAGGACGCTGCAGATTCACAGGGTGGCACAAGCCTCCTGACCTTGGCTATTGTCCACACCCAAGCAAAAGGGCCACAGAAGGTGATTGAGGACTGGGAGCACGTCTTCTGTGAGAAGAGGCTGAAAGGGCTGGGCCTATTCAGGCTGGAGAAGGCTCAGGGGTATCTGAACAAAACCCACAAACACCAGAAGGTGCACAGGGGATCAAGCAAGGCTCTTTTCAGAGGACCAGTGCCAGGACAAGATGCAATGGGCACAAACTGACATGCAAGAGGTTCCCTCTGAACATGAGGAAGCACTTTTGTGCTATGCGGATGAGAGAGCACAGGCACACGTTGCCCAGAGAGGCTGTGGAGTCTTCTCCACAAGGATCCTCAAAAGCTACCTGGGCACAGGACTATGCACCCTGCCCTGAGCAGCCCTGCTCAAACAGGGGTTGGGACAGATAGGCCCAGAGATCCCGCCAACCTCAGCCATGCTGTGATTCTGTGCAAGCACGATCCGCATCCCCATCCTCACAGCCCAGCCTGTCTTCAGCCACCTCATTCTTGGGGGGCCAAAAATTCCCATTTCGCCCATTCACCTGAGAGGTTCCGACAGTAGAAACACCCACTTTCCACATGACTTTTTCCTCAGTCTCGCAGCCGCCCCGCGCTCCTCCCCACACGAGACACGCAGCCCCACCAGCCCGAGGCCGATCGGCTCCCCACGGCCTCGCCGAGCTGGCCGGAGCCGCCTGGGGCCCTCACGTTGCGGAGCCACGTGCAGCGCCGTCTGGCGAGGCGCCCAGCCCGCCTCAGCTCAGCCCTTCCCGGCGGCACGTGAGGCGGGGCAGGGCGGGAGCCGGGCTGAGGCGCGCCGCGCCGCTTTACGAACCCGGCGGCAGCCTGACACCCGGGCTGCTTTCCTCGTCGTCCGCCGCTGCCGGGGACACCCGTTCCCCGGGCCGCGCGAAAGAGAGAGCAGGGGGCGGCACTCGGCGTGTCCCCGCATGTAAGTGAGCTCCGCCCATCAGCGGCGGTGGGACGGGAGGGAGCGGGTGGGGGCTGCGGCGGCGGAGAGGGGCTGTCCGTGGCCGTGCGTGGCGGGGTCGGGGCTGCCGGTGCGCCCTGACTGGAGGTGTGCCCTTCTGCAGGAGGGTTTGTATAGAGATGTGCGAGCAGCTGCTGCAGGCAAGCGAGGTGCTGGAAGGCAAACGGTCATAACTGGCAACACTCGTTCGGGGTCAACATTAGGACAGAAACAGACCTGCATCGGAAGAACGAAAAAAATAATAATCCACAGCATCCATTCCCAAATCATCATCTTTTAGTTGGCTTATATATTTTTAAATTGTGGGAAGTCTGGAAATGCCACTTTCTGCTTCTCTAGTACTCTGAAAGCATGACCCAAGAAGCAAGCACCTGAGGAAGTTTGTGTTTCTTTCCGCCGGAGCTTAACCCATAACACAGCTCATCCACCTCTAGCTCTCTATAGCTTTCTTTCCCGCATCCTGCCTGTAGGAGCAACGCTTATACGGGTAGGTCTAATGCTGGCAGCATGGGGCTTGCAACTTATTGGGTGTCACAATAAATGTGGATCAAGAAAGGAGACCCTACCGATAATGTTTCTGCGTTTCTGAAGGGTTTCAATTAGGTTCTGCAGGTGTTTAATTCAGCCTTGCAGCTCAGACCAGCATGTGGGAATAGTGATAGTGCAGCCCTAGAGTGAGACCTGGAAAGAGCCCTGCAGAAAGCATCTGAGCTCTGCAGCAGTAAGCTTGCACCAACTGCAGCTGGGCCAGGATTTAACTCTGGATGTGACTGTGAGTAATGGAAACAGCAACGGTCCACATATACACATGATGTAAGTTTAGAATAGTTATAAGCATGTGTGATTCATTACATAATTAAGAGCATTAGGAGGAAACTTTCTGTAGGGAAAGGTTATTCTATAATTATCCTCTCTGCAGGCTTTTTATCTTCTTTTGAAACACCTGGAATTAAACAGCCCTAAAGACAAGACACATGGTTCATAGTCTGCCCTGGAGCAGCTCTTCCCGTGTTCTTGTAATCATGAACAGAGTAAGACAGATTATCTCCTTGTTCATTCATATGTACTGTTAAAATAAATTTAAAAAAAAATAATGGAGGCCGCAAATGTCTGATGAACACCTTCTTTCTTCCTGGCCCTGATTGGCTCTTTCCAAAAGGCCAATTTGTAATGCAATTCCTAGTGCACGTTTCCTTCAAAGCACTGGCTGTGCCTTCCTGAAACTGATGGATTGCCTTTCAATGAGCTTAGTTTAGGTTGCTGGGTTCTTGGCACCAGATGAAAAAGCAGCACAGCAGCAGTGTGATTGTTGTTAGCTGTAGTGACAGCCAGCACCACTGAGCATCCCCATGGCTGAGGGCAAGTTTGCACGCAAGTCGGGGAAAAGTTTATGTTGAGTTTTGGGATTCTGGATGCCTCCTCAAAGATTATTCTTGTTGGCGTGCTCTCTGATGCTTCTTGAGAAAGTACTTTCCCAAAGACTTTGCTGCGACCGCATAGGAGCATCTACTGGGATTATAGTCATGTGGCATGATGCAGTAGCACTGATAGGAGCCAGCTGGAGCCAGGGAGACACCATAATTGCATGAAACTCAACTGCTTTCTGTCCTAACACTCACATGTGCCTGTCTCCACCTTTGGGAGCCATCAGCCTTCAGAGCACCACACATATTTGGAAATAAATACATGCACCTAAAGGGCAACCTACATCTGGAAGTCCAATATCAGTTTCCAATGACTGTGGGCCATGCATCCATGGTCCACTATTTCAGAGCCACTAGGGGCAAGGAATAAAGTTCACAAATGGATGCAAGAGCCCATCTGCCTCACTGGAGCTCTGCTACTGTGCATTATCACCTGCAAAACTGATGCTCAGCTTCCACTGAAATGAGGTAACTGCATCCCCTCGCTGCCTGAGCTTTTTGCTGCAATTGGTGTGCAAAGCAATCTCTATGCCAACAGCAGCCTCTGGCTGACAAGTTCTTGATACTATAGCCACAAAGTGACAGTTAGGCACTAGGGCATGAGTGCAAAGGGGTGCTTGGAGTTTGCTTAGATTAGATGCAGACCTGCAGAAATAATAGGGAAGGGTGGTTACAGAAATAGCATCTGGGTTTGTGTCTACTGCGGTGGAAGCACCCTTTAGGATGCTGGAGACCAAGCCTATACGTGTGGCTCTGCAAAAGCTATGCTGCTCCATTTTTAACTATCTGCATGGTCTGCAGATAGTTGGTAAACTCTCTTAGCTCAATCTCTAAATTCTTCATACCCTTCAGAATTCAGTAGTGCAACAGATCCAAACCATGGCTATTTGCTAATTTTTCTCTAAAGTTTCTTCTTAGCCTGTCCTCTGCAGTGCATCTGCAGCTTTGGAGAAGGGACTGAGTTTTGGGATGCAGGGAGAGAAAGAATTGAATGATACTGAAGATCTATTTTCAAGCTCTTTCAGAAGTTGAGGACTTGAGCAGAAATTAGTAGGTGAACATACTTGGTAAATGTATGTACCAGCCCTTGTTGATCTGTGAAATTCGCAAAATGCCTGATTTATTTCCTCATCATTGCCGTATCTCCACCTTACCTGCCAGGGGAAAATGCAAACCTTTCTTGCCCACATGCTGGCCTGCCCAGTGCTTGAATGGGATTGAAATGAGATCCTGTTGCCTGGGACTGGAACATTTCTCAAGCACTTGCTTCAGGAAATAGGAATAAAAGTATCAGGCAACAGCCAAGTGATATCTCTGGTCATCTTTGTCCTCTAACTGGCCAATGCTGTAAAATAAATGGTTAGAGAAGTTGGGATGGTAATACTACCTCCACTGTAAAACTAAACTAGTTTGTATATTTTCTTGTTTGCCACCTCCATTATTTGTTCTAGAAGTCCTCCTTTTCAGTACATTTCCTTTGTTTAAAAAGGTGTTCTTGGCAGTTTTCTCAACTCCCACCTCTATGCTCTCTCTTTTGCCACTGTTCATACTACAGCAGCTCCTAGGAGTCTGAGTCCTATAAACAAGACTGCTCACTGTTAGGCAGTGTAAACAAAGCACAACAAAGAAAAATAACAGTCGCTGCCCTGAGGAGTGTTCTCCACTTCCTTGTACAGCTCTGTCCCCATACAGCAAACCTCTGCTTGGTATACACTAGAATATGGATGCACATAAGAGGTGAAGACATTTCAGCTTTACCTGTTCCCTGTCAAAGCTGCTGCCACAGACAAATCCTATAGAATTCAATGGGGATTTTTGCTCTGGTCTAGATACTGGGATAAACTTCATCCAAAATAAGCCAGGAGTCTCCACGGCAGAATCAAAGGGATTTGGGTTTACTGCCACACGCAGATAATGGTCTTTCTGTCCTCAGCAGGGAATCGCTCCTGGATGCGCTCGCCAGAGAGCAGCACCAGGGAGAAAAGATGGAGCGGCAGCTGGGGAGGATAGTGCACAGCCAGCGGAATCTCTTTGGCCCAGTAGACCATGAGCAGCTGCATTGGGACTTCCAGCACATGCTGTGCAGCAATATCGAAGGGGCCCAGCAGAAGTGGAACTTCGATTTCCTACAGGATGTGCCAATGGAGGGATTCCTGCAGTGGGAAGAGCTGGGGGGCCATGAGGTGCCAACCTTCTATCACAGCTGTGTGGTGAGAGAGAGCCGGAGGCCACTGCGGCACCTGAATCGGCCCCTGTGCAGGGAGGAAAAGGCTCACCGGTTGACCTTGACGGCACTGGCAGAGAAACCAAAGGCTTCCAAGCAAATGGGAGCTGGGAAGGTCCCAGAAGGAAAGAAAAGAAGACAGATGTCTTTAACAGGTATGAGAGGCCTTGGTATTACTCTGATGACCAAACCTGGTTCCAAACAAGAAATTCTGTGGCAGGAACATGCACTGGCATTACTTTAAAAAAAATGCAACCTTTTATAGGAGCATCTGAAAGAAAATAAAATATAAATAAATGGGCGTGTGATGTGTTTCTCGGATGTACTGGGCCACAACCATCTCCTGGCCCTCAGGGTCCCTTTAGGACCTACTAGAGTCAGAGCGGTAAGATAGTGACCACTTGATTGGGATGATTAGGAGGGTTAGACAGGCAGTGTGAGAAAAGCGGTGGAGTTATTTCTCAAGCAGGAATCAGTTCACCTTCTGACTTCAGCTTGGATATTATTCTCAGCAAAGGCATCTGAGAAATGTAAGGGCAGATCGTTGTTAAACTTGGCCAGGTGGCAGAAGAGGCTAGGTCTTCAAATGCCACTGAGCAGAACTTACTGCCAGATGTAAAAACAAAGGAGTTTCAGCATCCATAAAAGAGCTTTCAGTTCTTGAAAGTCTTTAGCATCTGCATACCAAGATCTTTTGGAAATTCCCCCCTGCACCCTCACCCTTTACTGTTCTCAACAGGAATTTGAGCTTGTTTGAAAAATCATGTCCTTTTGAGGATTTTGTTAATTCAAGTCTGAAGTTTTCAAGACCTAGACCAAAGATTTCCTTTTTGGAATTTGATGTAAGACACCAGCTTGAAATAGCCTTGGAGATAATTGAAGCTAAGGTTCAGGAAACACTTTCTGAACAGCGATGTTGATCACAGTAAATCAGGGAATAGAATAATTTGCTATTTGAGGGTATGGAACTTAACTGGTAGAGAGAGGTTGGGGGTGAGATTGGAGATTAATGAAGAGTGAACACTGTACACTAGTGTACAGAGCAGTGATATTTAATGAGTGCTCTTTTCTTCTCCAAACCACTTTACAGCCATTAACTAATTAACAGTATAATTTACAGGTAGGAGTACAGAAGAGTAATTCAGAGTACAATGCTGTGATGGTTTGAGGGAACTGCTGCTCAATTGTAAATCTTTCTCTGGGTGTGTGGGAGTAAATTATGAAGATATTTCCAGAGGATATTTTTCTTCTGGTTTTTTTTTTTCCCCGGGCAAGAAACATTTCAACAGGGGATATGGAAACCAGAATACCACACTACACAGTTTAACACTTTCCCACATATATTTTCATAAGAGAAAACACTTTAGTCCAATATCACAATATCAGTACCCTTCTCCCCAAGGAATCTGGGTCTATGAAATGGGCCAAGAAAATAGTTTGCAGTTGTCTTTTTTGATGAAAGTTGGAGATCAGTCTCTCTCTCATTCCTGCACACAGAGTGAGAGACAGACAGATAGACACAAAAGCTTACAGCCTTCGTATTGCCAGTTGAACTATGCGTTAGAAGTTTCCCTCTAGCATCAGAAAACTTTTGGGTACAGCTGAAGAAATTCAGGCAAAACTCAGATAATTTTATGGGAAAGTAATATCTACTGATACACTCTGACCCATTGCTTCTGCCCATTCACTCAGCTTCTACCATCCTCTGATGAAGTTTGTTTAGCGCTGAGATCTGAGGTTGGATCTGAGCACAGTTATCGGCATAGCTGCATTCTCCTTCAGTCAACAAAAACACTGCAGTGCTTTACATTAAGGTCCAACAATGTGTGTTTAATTTAGACTTTAAAAGACAGCTGTGGGCCATTAAATAAATATCAGCATATTAAAAGTCAGCTGTGGGGTTTTGTGGATGTTGGTGCCGCCGGAGTGGAAGGAGCAGAGGTTTTCCTGCTCTGTTTGACTCCTTAAACATGCAGAGAGCTAACCAACACAAAAGGTGGGTTTTTCCTTCTATCTTCCACCCCTTTTATGTACACTGCTCCATCCTCATTCCTTTTTGGCTGTGGTCCCAGTGTGGTTCTACTGTTTTCTGGTTCAAACACCAGATCATCTATAGGCTATAAGTCTTTTTCATATTTTCCCTTTCTTTTTATTTTTTTCTTCAATAGCAAAGGTTGGTGAACCACACCACCTCTACACTTCTTTTCTTAACTTGTTGGTTTGTGTCAGTCTGGTTCAAACCTAGGCTGCTCTTGGAGAGGTTTTAAGTCTCCTTTGCTTAAAGGTTGAGAAAATCCCTAACAATCTAGCGTTTTCACTAGCTGGTATTGCTTCAGAAACAGTTATAAAGCCCCATTTTCTGCAAGGCAGATGGGACAAAATGGGGATGAAAGGAAATCCGGTATTTAGGAAAGTATGTTTAAACAGAAATTATTCCCTCCTAGGTCCCTGCACTCAGATTTTCCTACTGATGGGCTGCAGGCAAGATATTCCTACTCAGTATGTTGCTCAGTGAAAGTAGTCATCTTCCATGGACTCTGTTTAGTGTCTTAGAGAAAGGCTAGAACTGTTAAATATGGCTCTGGGGAGTCTGTATCCCTCCATTACATGCTTCCATCAGTTCTGAAACTGGTCTCAGCTATGAGGCATGCGAGCACACAGCAGCTGGCCTCTAGCTGAATTCTTCATAGGCAGAAATGGGAATAATGATTGTCTCTTTTCTGACTTCCACCTGCTAAGCATGTCCATCATGCATTTATTTTCCCCAAATGAAATAAAAGATAGCTATGTAGAAGTCTTATAAATGGGTGTAATAAGGATTACGTTACTTTCTGCTATTCTTTTTCTCTTCTGAGAGAGTGCAGTGGATTATTGCTCTTCGTGTTCATGTTGCCAATTTGACTCTACACAAAGCTCAGGTTTAAACACTGTGAAGCCCATATCTTCAGTTAGTTTAAATAGTAGTTTTGTTATTGGGTACAAATAAATGACACCAGGTAAGCCCCATCAATTCTAAACATAAATAAGCATCTGTCTTCTAATTCAGCTAATTTAGCCCTATCTACCTGAAAAGAGTTTTTTTTCAGTATGAGGGTGGGAGGCAGGAGGTTAAATCTTATATAAACCCTTTGTTGTATTTGTAGTTCTGTAGTTAATACTGACTTATATTTGCCACTGAAAACAGAAACTCAACCACATGACTGTATGAAAAAGGAGTTCTCTCTCCTTGAGTTATATTACTTACTACCCGAGTGAAGAATGAGTTGTAATTCAGTAGCAGTGCAAGGCTTTGTGCAGCCCTGCCTGAATCCACATTTGATCTAATAAGCAGAAATAAAGTAGTCCATAAAGATGTTTCTTCTTGGTGATTTTTTTTTTTTTTTAATGTTTAAGGAGGAAAAAATAACCATTTCTGACTGGAAAGCACTGCAGCAGTAGATCTAAAAACTGGAGTTAAATGTCACATTGCTCATCTTGTGTAATAGAGCCGAGAGCCTTTTGATCAAAACTGGATAAAAGCCAGCACATTTCCTTTGTTTTGCTTGGTATTACACAGTTTTATATGGAACATACTAAAAGTATTAGTTTTATCCATTCACTAGCCTTAGAGGAGTCCAAATGACAAAAACAAGATTCGGGAGATTTCTTTGAAGCAGCCCTTATTAGCATCACAGTTGTAATTTTGTCTGTTTGCATGTTATTCTCTAGATTACTACTCAGGAAAGAAGCGAATCAGGACGAATACACAAGCTGCTGCAAAGAAGCCAACTGCCTGAAAGCAAGCACTGAACTGTCCTGTACCAGAGAGGCTACAAGCATCTGCTGGGTTTCCTTAGCATTGAAAAACTTCATGTGCAGGATTGGACCCATTACACTAAGACGTATACTGATGACAGTGATCTCACAAGTACAAAAAACTTTGGTTGGAATGAGTTCAGGCCAAATCAACTGGAAACACTTCAGTGAGAAATTACTAGCCTTAAAAGACACTAGTTAGCACATGTGGACTCTACAGGATTCGGTGAAGGCTAGCAGTTCAATGTGCACTAAAAATCACTGGACATGAGAAAATGATGAACACTTAAAAAAAAACAGCACATATGTGTGTAATGTGGTTCTTGGACATGTCAGGGTACAGTTGGGATTTTTTATATTGTTGTGTCTTTGCATATGCTTTTTTTTTTTCCTTAAAGCAGGGTGTCTTATTAAACATCACCATCTCATTTTTACAGGTCTGACAACTAAGAATAATTCCCAGGCACATCTGTGGTTTTTATCAGGTACAAAATTTTGTGCTTACAGCTATCCAGAGCATAAGTAACAGCACTTGGGTGCCAAGTATTGCTGGATTGTAAATGGAGAAAGCTGAAATTATTTGGGAAAGCTTCCACTTATATCAGCAGGCATGTTAACTCTGTATGTCTGCCCACTGTGGAAGAATTGGATAGTTCGGCTTGTTATGAGTACATGTTTCCAGATATACTCTTGCAGCTTTTAAGTCATTCCTGTTATCAGCTGTGTAAAAATTCACCTGTTATTTTCAGCTGTGCTATTCCATCTAGGACTTTGGATTTGCAGTGTAAATTAGGATAAAATTTGCTGTGCCTTCATCCACAGTTTTTAAAAATGCTTGCTGCTTGTAAGAACATGCTACAAAAGAGGTAAACTGTTTAGTTGCTTTTAGTGCTTTTTTCATACTAATATTGTTTTTGTAAGAAGAAAAAGGGAATTAATAACATAATGATCTTGACATTGTGTGGACTGCTTTTTCTGTGGCATTTGTTAACAGACTTTTCCATCACCTACTTTTTATTTCCCTTTTTCATTCCCCTGACTGGTTTGGATAACTGAGGTTTTACAGCACATAATAATCAGTGGGTAAAACAGAAAAAGAAACCTATAAAATATACACTCTAAATTATACTGCTGCATATGGCCGTAATATGCACGTGATGTTTAATGAACACATTTGGTAAGAGCTTTGTAAATGTCAGCTTTTTTAGGACATTGTGCAGTGGTGGAATACTACTTTTCATCTTGAATCTAAACAAGCCAAGGTTTATCTTGGGCAGGAAGAACCAACATGCGCATGCATGTGCACGTCAGTTGTGCACACAGGAATTGAAGTAAGGAAGTAATACATCCTGCACTGCACGCAATGTCAGGATGGTTTAGAGCATTTATTTTTTTCCCATTAAGAGCTGCAGTGATCAGATGTAAATAATGTTTGCCCCCAAATGGCAAAAAACAGCGATGATTTGTTTCTATATGCTGAGACAAATATGCTCAGCAAATTGCTCTTGGAACCTGTTTCCAGATGCATGCAAGAGAGTCACAAGAAGAGATTTTCTCTCCTGGGTTTGTGATGTAATGAGGAACCAAACTTGCTCTAGCTGATGTCAAAGGCATTTCTATGCAACTGAAGCCAGATAAGGGTCAACCTTGGCAAATGCTGCTAGTCATGCATTCGGTGTGTTTATGACTGGACCATTCTGTAACAAGCTTCTCACCACATTGAGATATAGGTGAGCAGTTGGACAATTTGTGAGATTATTTTTAAACTTGACTTGTGATTAGAACAGGCTAATATACATTTTTTAAGTGTAGTGTTTTTCCTTAATCAGAAAAATTGCACAACAGTTTCTCCATGTGTTTGTGATTTTTAAATCAGACCAATGACACTGAGCTACAGCTTTTTGTTTTGTAGCAAGGTTACTTGCAGAATTGCTTTCTGATCAGGATGACATGAGTTGTGCATAAAAGGCTGTAAGTTTGTCATGGATGTGTGAAGTAGTGTGGGGTCTTTTTCTTTCAAGAGGAGAAGGGGTGCTTCTCTTTATTAGGGGTGATGATGACTGCTGATGCATTGCTGTCCCAGAGAAACAAGGAAGGACCTTTGCATTTTCACATCAGTTCTGTAATATCCCACTACTTAAATGGACACTTAAAGTTAAATACCTGCTTCAAATGCTTTGTCATCAGGACCCATAATGTCCTATGAATTTTGTTGAAGGGTTATTTAAATTATCAGCAACAGGTTTTTTTGGATAATAGGGCAGATACTGGTCTTAGAGTTGAATGTCAGTATATTCAGACAGAAAGGTAAAGGCCCTGGCTGAAAATGCAGCTTGTGTTTACTGCATCTTAATTAGCTATGACTGTGAATTTAGTATTAGGATAGAAAAGAGATTTCTGACAATGAGACAAGGTAATATTCTTCTGCTTGCTGACTGTGCTTACTAATGTTCTTTGAAATAAGTGTACAGAACAGATAGGGCAAAGGAAAAGTTTTCATGTCGGTATTTTCAATTGGAAATTCTCATACATGTACCACAGGGCCTAATCCCCCTGCTTATTATATCTCCACTAACCTGCAGTGGAAGTGCTTTGGTTTACAGCAGAAGAGAATGAGGTTGAGTAGTTCTGCACTAGTTCCTTTAAGTGCCTTAAATCAACAAGCAGCTAACCATGTGAAGCCATTGCCTCCTTACTACATGCACGAGTTTTTAAAGATTTCTTTTTTAAAAGAAGGTTTCTGCTGTTTTTTTCATGTGTGACAGCCAAAAATAACAACAAACATCTGATTAGTGCTTAAGCCATCAGCTGAGTAGATAAAACATATCGGTCTTTATTTCATTACTATGCTCAACAGAGAAACATTGAAACCTGGAATATTTCATTATTTTGTTAATGTTGTAAATTGCACTTTCTTTGTTAAACAGAGTGTACAGAAAGGGAGATGCACCATTATTTAGCAACACTGTAATAATGATATTTTTGTTTTTATACAATGGATGTCTAGCACATTCCTGTTCTTCAAGTGAGGCAGCACACCTGACTGAAAAAGCAATACACTGAAGCTTTGATCTGCTTCAGTGTGGCACAGTCAACATACTGGATATACCAAGTGTAATTGCATACCAGAGCATGTCAGGGCTTCTTTGCTGACAGTGAATTGGATTGACAGCATGGGTGCATGCCTTTCTATCAAATCTCACAGCAGTGCTCTCTCATAATTAGAAGCAAGGAAGTATGTTCTGAAACATAAGGAATCAGAGCATTAAGGAAATGATAGCAGCACTGTTTTAAGGTCTTATGCAGCTGAGTAGGGGCTGCACAGCAGAAGTGATACCACATCAGGAATCCATGGTACATTATAACCTTGGTATGCTGCTAATTCCCATTTTTTCTATGATCTGTGTGGGTGATTTGGGGCCATATAGTACTCAGTATCCACAGTGTAGCTCCCACGGTGATGTGACCAGTGTGTACATTTGGGAAATATATAGTTCAGATTTTTTTCTTACTGAGATATATGCATCCCACATGCAACACAACCTTAGCTGAAAATGGGATAGAACATCTCCCAGAAGAGCCCTTGCACTAGCTTTATATTTTGTACGAATACAAATATAAACTCAGGTGTACATCATTTTAACAAATTCCTGTCAGTAGTAACCAGAGAAAGTTGTTTCATTTGGGCAGGGTAGCCGAGAAAAGAATTCCTCTGCACTCTCTCAATCTTTTTTGAGGATGGTGCTGTACAGCTTCCTTCTACTTAAAGCAGCTCCTGTGCAAACTGTTGGTAGGTATCCCTTTGAGGAATGCATTGGTTTCTTGGAGAATGTACTCTGGTACGTTTCATTCATCTACCATTATCTTTCTGATTCTTGTTTATATGCTTCAGAGATGTGCCTTAATGTCACAGAAATTTTGGCCCGGAAGGGAACCTAAGAAACCACCTAGTTCATCACTCTGCACCCTAGCAGAATTGGAACTGACTTATTCCAAAGATTGTGAACTGCTGTAGGAGATTATTTGCTCAATCCATGTGGCAAATTTAATGGGTATCCCAAGTCAACAAAATTCCTCTGGAGATTGAAAGGATATGTGTTACACAAGGTGCTTGCTTTCAGGTAGCAATTTTCCTCTGCTTGTTTTGTTGCAATACTGTCATTTCAGTTAAACCTGAAAAATTGGTGTGCTGAACCATTTGATTGTTGGTTGTGGATATTTGCAAGGTCATCAATAACTGCTAGGGCATATACATGTTTTAATAGCAAAAGACATTTAATTGTCTTCCTTGCAGATGGGTTTCTCTTTTGTTTCTGCACTGCTCTAACCTGGACCCCCTATGTTGGTCTCCCAGTGGAGTTCCACTTTTTACAATTGATCAACTTCAAACACGAAATGTTGACAGAGCTGACCTGCAGCCCAGAAAGTGTGTTTCTGTGGTGAATGTGTCATGGTTTCCCACTAAGGTGTCACAAGAGAAAAAACTTTTTTTTTTCCTTTATTTATTTTCTGAAGTTTTTTGTTTGTTTGCTTCTTTGCTTAGGAAATGCTGCCTGTTTTTGTTTAGACAATCTGTTTCCTTGGCAAATAAATAAATAGATAAATATGGCTATCAGGTGTTTAAAGCTGTTAAACTCAAATTTTCAAAAGCGAGAGGGTTTTCCCTAGTGTCCTAGACACATCCAGCTTTGGTAATTGCATCTTCCCTAACTAAAACCTTCTTGCAGGTTCATGGCATTCTTCCTGTTCTGCTCAAGTATTTTGCAGAGAACTGCTGTGACATTGTGTTAAACATCTGCCACAAGTTTGCCCAGAATTCAATCACAGATGAAGTGATTTATGATAGATGGCACGCATATACACAGATTTTTATTACAATGGCTTCTACTGACCTGTAAGAGTTATTTAGGAAAAGCACTTTTGAAGAAATCAGCTCAGTATCTAAATATGGCTTCATTTGAGGCCTCTATTTCAGATTATTTTTTCCAAGCCCTTCCCATCTCTTATAAGGAGGCACAGAGAAATGGCAGATGCATGTGATCAGCTGTGTTTATAAGACAATAACCTTTACTCTGCCCATTAATCCACTCCATAAATGCAACACACATTCCAGAGTGCTGTGCTGCCCCTATCATCAGCAGATAAATACGTACACACCTGCTAAATAAATATTTTCCCTGTACTCGTATAAATGTGACATTTCTTCCTTGAAATTATGCTGGCAAGAGGTCAAAGAGTACCAAAAAGTTCATCCTGCAGTGCTGATGGCTAATAAACTCGCAAGGAGAGAGGAGCACACTGCTCAAGTGATTTTTCACACTAGCTGAGGACATCTAGTGGTCTGTAAAACTTCAGACAATCATCCACGTACCAGTTACAAGCATTATTAAAAATAAGAAGCCCTACATATTCTCACGCCACAGCAGTAAGGAGAAAAAATGGAGAAAATAAGAATGTATGGAAGTGTCTGGTGTTTAGCTGCTGGAAATGAAACTACTGTGGCAGCAGCAATATAATTGGTGTAAGGTTCTTTATCCTAAAAAGTTAGGTGGTCCCTGTCTTAAAGAAAATGAAGATACACTCTCATGAGCCCACTGAAAAAGAGAAACTCATAGGATCCAGGTGATGCACAGCACTGGCTACTGGTTTAAATGAGCCAGGCAATTTTACACTTCAGAATTATAACATTATACTGAGTAGAAAATTTTACTGTGGATATTTTTAAATCCCTGTCTCAGATGTCCTTGGAGCTAGAGCTGGGTGAGAATGTATGTGATGAATGAAATCTCTTTAAAATCAAAGTTATTATAATTTTGAATCATCTGCATCCTGTATTTGTTTACATGGACTAATCAGAGACCATGTACACCTGTTCTTTCCAGTATGTGTATTCTCTGTGCATGTGTGTGTCTGTTTTCACAGAAAAAGTACACCCAAAAGCACGTTAATAAAATTTTCTTATCCAGGAATGGACAATCGTTCTGATTTTACAAGCCACATGTGAATTCTTCATGCAGCCAGCAACCACAAGACACATAATGTGGTATGTCAATGGAAGCAAGGAACTAGGAATGGCTGGAAAAGAACAGTGACTCCCTTTTTCTCCCACCAGCTTCTTGTGACACAGAGCTTGTCTGGCCCTCCCAGTAACCCAGCTGCAGGGAAACTGTCCTTTTCTTAACCCATAGAAAAGTTATTTAAATACTCAGCTAGAGATGAGTTTTCAGCTAGCTTTAGCAAGAGTGGATGCAGCAGACGTGTTTTTGCCAGGCTGCCCAAGAGAAGACTCACGAAGCCACAGCTGCAGTCAAAATCGGGCTGAGGGCTGAAGTGATCGTGCCACCTCAAAGGGCCTCCCTCTGCCCTCGATGGTAAGGGGGCTTGGGAGCTGTAAGTCAATCACATTGGAGCTAGGTAGATACATTAAGCTGCAGCTCATCCTTTGACCAATACACCATTTGCAGAATTACTGTAGTATTTGACTTTAAAGACAGCCAAGCAGTACAGCACATTTCTTGACTCAGATTAAAAGCAGTTTGAATACTTGTGGCTAGACAATTTGTCTTGCCTTTAAAAGAAAAAAATACAGAAGCCATACCAAACAGTTAAGCAGCATAAACAGGCTGAGATGTAGGACTGAGAGACTGCAGGGAATTTTTACCTTGCCTGCTGCAAATCAAGATCATCCATTTTACCTTCCCACAGTCTTACTCCCTTTGGAATACTCATGGTTATCATGAAATCATATTCTTACAGTCTTTTGGATGCTATAATTAGATAATGTCTCTGGAAAATGATACCAGTCTGGATACAGCTGTGCTAATAATGCTTTGTATTACAACACCCCTTATCCATTGAGACTCCAGAGAAAAGCATATATGTATGAAAAAAACCAGATTTAATAAATAATACAATGTTAATGTATATATTATTTGTTGTTATGTATATGTGTCTATATACAAATACAGGGAGATATCTTTACATGTT